AACTACATATAGTGTTAAGTTAAAACAAAAAATAATATAAAAAAATAAATTTAATAATAAAAATAGGAACTCTTAAAAAAGGAACTTGAAAAACAAACTTTCTGTCGGTAATGGTAATACCATAAGTACATAATTAAAAAATTAAAAAACAATAATAAAAATATTCAGAAATCAGGTCCATGATTCACTGTTGTCAAATCAAGCGATTAGGTAACATTAAGAAATGCATTTTCAGCGAACTTTCGCTTAGAGAGGAGCGAACATTACCGTAAATTACATTAATAATGCGAACGTTCGCTCGGTAAAGTTCGCTTGTTACAACACTATGGATATTAAAAGAGAATTTCAGTGAAATTCTTATGAAAATAAATGAAATTTTGAAAAATTCCTTGAAGTTTCATTGGACTTTTGAAAAATTTTCGGCTATGAACGTGGAACTTCAAAATCTAATATATAAAATTCTCATGTCACAGTTCTAGTTACCTTCGTTCTCCGAAACGGCTTTACCGATTTTTATGAAATTTTATATGTATATTCGATAGGTCTGAGAATAGGTTTTAAGCTATTTTTTATACCCCCAAGTATAAGGGTGGTCCACCCCCAAAAATTTTTAATTTTTTTTTGTTTCTCACCACTACATTACCCAACTTATTTTTGTTAACAGTATTATCTTATAGCATTTTCGGCTTTACTGCTCCCAGAGCGCTCTCTATTTGGGCGGTGACGTCACAGATCTCAGCGGAAGTGCTCCGAGAGCGATTGTGATCCAAATGAGGGCACCCTATTCGAAATCAATAGCCGAACGTACTTTAATTGTTCTGTTTTGATCAATCATTGATCTATCGCATTTGACGGAGCAAGGAATATTAATTTTCTTCAACCAAGGCCAAATTTACCATCGAAAAAAACTGAACTTAATTCAGCTTTAGATACGTTAACACAATATTTAATAGGTATTTAATAATTCAGAGGCGGTACGAAGTTCGCCGGGTCAGCTAGTGTGTTCCGAGGAATTTTTAAGAAATCACATGAAATGTCAATGAAATTCTGAAGAATTTTATGAAAATTTTGTGGAATTCCAGGATATTTCAATGGTGAAATTTTGGGGAATTTCAGTAAAGTTAAAAAAAAAAATATGGCATTTTGAAATTGAAATTTTGAACAACTCTTATCGTTTCATAAGGAATATCAGTGAAATTCTGAAAAATCCTAATATAATTACATAATGAAGTTTTATTTTTATTCCAAGGAATTCCCAGTTAAAAAAAAACACTGTATTTTAGTGAAATTGAAATTCCGAAAAATTCCCATCGAATTAATGAATTTTAGTAAAATTAGAGAAAATTTCACAAGTGGAATTCCGAGGAATTTCCGGCTAAAAACTTGGAAATATATTTGGAGGAATTTCGGTGAATTTTCAAGAAATTACAGAATTCCGATGGAATAACTTGAAATTTTAATGGAATGCCGAAGAATTTCATGAAATCTCATAAGTAGTGTAATTCCGAGGAATTTTTGTCCAAGAATTCCATTGAATTTTATGGTGGAATTCCATAGAATCATATGATGAAATTCCCAAAAGTATTATGATATCCTATAGTAAAATGTCTAGGAATTTCCGTTTTTCCATTCAAATTTGTCATTTGAATTTAGAATCTCTAAAAACTTCTCAAAAACCCCTAAAATGCTCCAGAATCACCTAAAATTTTGAAAATGTAAAATTTTCTTAACTGTAAAATCGTGTAAAGATTTTGAAAATTCCCAAAATCATACAAAAAATTAAGATTTAAATAAAATATGTGTTCATTATTTTTTAGAGTTAACTAAACCTCGGAGCGGTTGATTGGTCAAAATCTGTGTAAAGGTCCAGAAAAACTTGGTAAGATATATTTAAAATCCCTGAAAATCTTTAAAAATTTAACAAAACCTCACAAAATCCCTTAAAAATCACTTGAAAATCTTGAAATCGCATAAAATATCACAAAATCACACAAAATTTTATTAGAACAAAACAAATTTGACAAAATCTTATAAAATCATTAAGTAATATGTATTCCTTAAAAAAACTCCCTCAAAATTTCCAAAAATCCTTTGGAATCCTCAAAAATCTGTTGAAATTTCTAAAAATCCTGTAGGATCTCTAATGGCCGTTTTCTCCAACTATTTTAAGGGTGCTTCAACAATAAATATTCATTAAAATGATAGTCTTTTATGAAAAAATTTCAGTTCAAAAAATACTTATCGTTAAAGCTACCCTAAATTAGTTGGTAAAAACGCCATAAAAACCCTTTCTAAACTCCCTAAAATGATCCAAAATCACCTAAAATCTTTTAGAATCCTGTAAAACCACGTGAAGATTTTCAAAATTCTCAATATCCTACAAAATCAATAAAGATTTAATTATGTACACATCTTATGGAGTTAACTAAACTTCGAGCGGTTATTGGATGAAAATTTGTATACAAGTTGGTCAAAATCCCAGAAAAACTCGTAAGATTTATTTAAAATCCCTGAAAATCTATTAAAATTCACAAAATTTTATTAGAACAAAAAAAATCCGCGGCAATATCCTATAAAATCTCTAAAAATCATTTAGGATCTTTAAAAACCTTTCTAACTTTCCTAAAATGCTCCAAAATCACCTAAAATCTTTAAAAATCCTGTAAAATCATATAAAAATTATCAAAATCCTCTAAGGTCCAGTTGTACAGTCCAGGTTCAAACAGAGGTTTAGTTGAACTCTACTGGTATTTGAACTTTACCATTTGAATTGCATTGCTGTCAAGAAATATATATTTTGGCATATTTCTGACAGCAATGCATTTCAAATGGGATGGTTCAAGTACCAGTAGAGTTCAACTGAGCCTCTGTTTGAACCTGGTTTGTACAACTGGGCCTAAATCTTACAAAATCAATAAAGATTTAAAATCTGTGAACATATTTAAAGGAGTTAACTACCCCTCGTATCTACATAGTAATACCAGTACATATTATATTATCTGATGTATAATAAGCATACAGTGGGTACCTACATGAAAAACTGATAATTGTTTTACATTAAGTAGTTTTGGTAATTTCTGCCACTAGAAAATCATCATTCTCCAAAAGTTTCTCATCACATTCTCGAAACAAACTGAAATTGGTGTTTCATGCATTTCAGCAAGTAAAAATGGAAGGATTTGTTTGCCTCAATATTATTATACCCATACCTAATTATTGATGAATCATCACTTAGGTACGAAAAAAAAAGGATCAGGGTAATGTAAACAAGCTATTGTACCTTTCTTTTCTTATCTATTTTTATATTCATCATTCCACAGTGGACTATTGAGGAGGAATAAGCTATCAAAAAAATAATTACCTAAGCTATGATACTAACTGCCCTTCAAATCAGAATTTTGGTAAGCAGTAAGCTACTTCTAGTTGAGCATGTTTGGTATAAGATTTCAAGCATTTGGCTGTAGATGTTTCCAATAACTTCCTCTTAACAATTGAAACTGTGTTTCACTGATATCCAGAGCGACAAATCAAGGTTTGATTATTTCTCTTTGGCAATTGGTGTCCCCTGGGGAGGCCGTTCGCCATAATAGGTTAGGATCCCATTTGTTACACGATTATACTATTTAAGGTAAGTGTAACAGTGGGGCACTACCGAATGCCGGCGAGAAATGGTTGAATTAAGATTTGCTGTCGGGTGTCAGCTGCACAACGTGGTTTCAAGTGAATTCAGCCTAATGGGGCTTTAATAGAATAGCTAAATGCTCTTCAACTTTGCCAGGCAAAATTGTTTTTGTGTTTTCCAGATGAAGAGTCAAGTGATTATGTTTTATATTGTAGCTGGAATGAAATGGTCACGCACCTAAAGAAGAATTAAAAGGAGGTATCACATGGAGTAGTTTCTGATTTTAGAAAAATCATTAGGGGGTAAGCCTCTAAGACAGGAGGGGTTAAATGCTTGAGATCTTCCTGATAGTATTTTTTATCTAAGAAATATTTCCGATTGCTACTTTTCGAATTGTCACCTTGTATATGCTTGACTCACACTATAGCGTACTAGGCTGTGTTAATTATGATACACATATTTCCTTATGGTATTTTAAAGAGTGGCTTGTGCGGAACACATCAGTATATTTGGTTTGGGCAAATTTGGCTATTTACTATTTTCAAATCAAACATTGTATATTGTATTATACCTATCTTTTCCAAAGACGTCAATGTTAATCTTGTTAATTGAATAATAATAAAAATATTATTGTTCTTTTGCTCTAAGAACACTGTCTTCTTGTAGGTTTAAGGCTCGGTTTAAGGTATAATAATTTGAGTATTATACAAAGAAAAATATTAATCTCTTAGTTATAAGCAAAAAAAAATACAAGATTCTAAAACACTCATATGCAAATCTATTTGATAGGTACATAGAAACAATAGAAAAAAATTGTCAGGCATATTTGACTGTCCTGGCCCCCTTCATATCCAAGTTCATGAAAATAACTTGGGGGCCACATCAGTCATATATGACTGACAGTGAAAAGCTAAAAACAATCAAAAGAATATTCTCAACAATATAATCTATCATTTCAGCCACTTTTTAATAAAAATTAAGAGAAAAACATGTGCTGCCTCGTGGGATATTTTCCCAATATAGGTACACGTGGCATGCAATGTGTTAATAATTATTATCACTCATCTCAATTAAGTTTCAAGGGTTTCATGAAGTTTACTTGAAGCGACCTATGCAATTTGGGATGAATTCTACAATTTTTAATTTCCTAACACCCTTTTTTTAAAGGTTTCGATTTTAAATCTCCGAATAAAATAGTGTATGGAGTTTGGAGGGTCTCAAATGATAACTTAAACACATTTCTCATCAAATTTGAAACTTCATGTCTCAACATAAAATTGGAAATTTCATCATTTTAGTACCAAGGTTTGGATCTAAGTTTCTCGAGAAATTTCTAATGAAAAGTCTTATCAAAAATCTACTAAGAATGTATACATACCTCCATAACGAGGAATACATGGTTCGTTGTCTCCTTGCAGTCCAAAAGCGCAACGACATGTTCGTGATGCAGCTCAGTCAACTCCTAAAATGTTATTTTTAGATCAAACTCAAGTTTAAATTTTTAGCAACTATGACTGACCTTTAAAATTTTAATTTCCTTTCCCAGCAAGTTTTGCGATTTGGCCAGGTTCTTTTTAGCTATACTTTTGATAGCTACAGTAAAATTGGGATTCTGAAAAATAATATAGTTGCAATATGGTCCCTTTTAATGTAATAATTTGTTATGTTAACAATTATTTACCTTTTTGTTTCTTCCTTTAAATACAACAGCGAAAGCACCATGCCCCAAAATATCTTTAGGGGCATATTCGTATTCTCCTACAGAATCCATTCTAGCCAAATATTACCAAAAAATAATTGATAATTCAAATTTTTGCTATTAATGCAATTAATATTTAAAGATTATCAAGGTTAAAATAGACTTTTTGAGAAATTTTCTTTGTACAACTACGAATTTGTTCAATGAAAAATGTGTGTGCTAAAAATACATTGTCCAAACAGGAAATTGGGGATTTCTTATGCTAGACTGGCGCTATTCGTACCGAATTCTACATTCTGAAAGTCGCAATTTTCGATTTCCGCACTACTTAATTGGCAACACTAAAAACATTTTGGGAATTTTCTATTTCAAACATAAATACACAAAACTTTATAGTAATCAGTGGGCAGACATTTTTGTTGTATTGATTTTTTGTTTGTCTATCAGCTGATTGTCAAAATCATATTTTGTTGGAGGGTCGGTGCAGATTCCTGTAAAAAGGTAACATTTTTATTTTATAATAATTAAAGAAAATTATTATTAGTTATTAATAAGATGCAAAAGACAATTATTTTTTAATTAATAATAGTAAAAAACTTCTTAATTACTATTAAAACTATAGACAAAAAAATTTATTTGATTAGCTACAGCTTTTTGATAATAGATGGCAGCACTTGTCATAAATCAAAAAAAGCCCGCCTATTTGAATTTTAAATTTTAAAATTAAATAAATTTGCTTTTGTATGATGATTTTAATTGTTTAAACTTCAATTAATTCAATAACCCTCCAGTCTGATGCATATTAATTAATTAAAAATTTAATTAAAGCCTCCTTATTTCAATAACCTTAAAAAATCAGCTGCTTTATGCATACACTACACACAAAAAAAATTTAAAATTGGGTAAATGAAAATCATTTTCAAAGTCGTTTTTAATGTTAATTATAAACAGTAGGTACCTTATATTCTCCACTATTTTACTGGGGTAAGTTCCAGGTTTTAAGTTGAAAATGTCTTGTAGTTATACAGTGTGGTACTTTTGATACTTCTGTATACTTATACCTATAACTAGTTTTGTATGTTTACCCTGTATATAATTCATGTTTATTAAGTCCTAATTTCTAAAGGTAATTCAGTCAATTATTTCCATAGACTATCCAGAAGAACATTTTCCATTTCTGCCAACATGTCCCAATACTCAGCTGTCTATGTAACTACCCCAAATGAAGAAGTTGCCAAAAAGATCGCCCATGGATTGGTAAAAATAATATTTCCTTTATAATAATAATTCTGATTTTTACTATTAGGTCCAAGGTAAACTGGCAGCCTGTGCCAACATAATACCAAAAATAACTTCAATATACGAGTGGGAAAATAAAATCAACGAAGACTCAGAAGCTTTGATGATGATCAAGACTCGTACATCTAAAGTGGACGAGTTAACTGATTTCGTAAAGGCCAATCATCCCTATCAAGTTTGTGAAGTTATAGCTGTGCCTATTTTTAAAGGGAATGAAGCTTATTTGAAGTGGATAGGCGAAGTTGTTCCAGAAAAATAAAATGTTTTTGTATTTATGTATCATTTATCAAATAAAATAGTCTTTAAGCAAGAGTTTCTATTGGAATATATGTTTCTCAAAAATTTTGTTTATAAGAAACTGATTGGTTTTATTCTTGGCATGATGGCGAAGTATATCGGTGTATATGGAGTGAACAACTTCACCGCTTTCAAGAATCCCTGAGATTTTATCCTGGTACGTTTTGGTTGAGTACTTTGGCCGCAAACCTGCTCACTGTTCCATTAGGCAAGTATTGATGATAGGAGTTAAAAATTTTGTTACTATATTCTCAAAGACCTTAGCGATAGTGTTAAGGATACTGATAGGCCTATATTTGGTAATATCCATTTTGTCACCAGTCTTATGGATGGGCGTATGATAAAACTCCGCTTCCAAATCTCAGGAAATACTCCGAGCATCAGAGGGGGGATGCCATCTGGGCCAGGTCCACGAAAGATCCGTAGCTTTTACAGTTCCTCGTAAATAACTGAGATGGAAATTCCAAAATCATGAATGTGAGTGTTATTACTATCAGAATGCTTTGGTTAATAATTATACATGCCGCGTTGTTTGAGTACCTACCTAGGTTTACAAAATAAAATTAAGTATGTACCAAAGAGATTAACTAGTTCAGGTCCAGTTTTCGCGAATTTACCGTCATAAAACATGTAAGAAGGGAGTCCATAAGTCTGTTGTCTATCATTGACAAAGTTCCAGAAATGTTTTAAATTTTTATCCCTAAGAAATGATACCTCTGAGCATACGACATAATTTGTATAGCAGTCTTTGGAAAGAGTCTTACAATGAGCCTGAAGGTGTGAATATTCAACATTGTCAGCAGGGGAACCCGTCTGCTTTATGGACTGCTTTAGTTCCTGAGATAAAATCGTGGTGATTTATCAATTTTTCAATTTTTCTGAGTGCCTTTTTTCATAGATTTCGGCTTCAAATCTGGGAATAAATTGGTGTATGAAGTTAGGGGGATATCAAATGACTATTAGAACAGAAAATCTCAACAAAAAAAAATTTGAAATTTCATCTTTTTAGTAAGAAGGTAGCTACCCTATGATTTAGATTTTGGAAAACTTTGAAAGGTCATAACTTTTTTTCTATTATAGATAGAAAGCTGAAATTTTCAGTGATTCTTATTCCAGTAGAGGACTTCAATCCCTGAAAATATCAACACATTTGGACTTATAGTTCCTGAGATAAAATCGTGTTAAGCAATTTGGGGTGATTTATCAATTTTTCTGAGTGCCTTTTTTCCATAGGTTTCGGCTTCAAATCTGGGAATAATTTAGTATATGAAGTTCGGGGGATATAAAATAACCATTAGGACACAAAATCTCAACAATTTTTTTTTTTAAATTTCATCGTTTTTGTAAGAAGGTAGCTACCCTATGATTTAGATTTTGGAAAACTTTGAAAGGTCATAACTTTTTTTCTATTATAGATAAAAAGCTGAAATTTTCAGCGATTCTCATTCCAATAGAGGACTTCAATCCCTGAAAATTTCAACTCATTTGGACCTATAGTTCGTGAGATAAAATCGTGTTCAGCAATTTGGGGGGATTTATCAATTTTTCAATTTTTCTGAGCGCCTTTTTTCGAACATTTCGGCTTCAAATCTGGGAATAATTTAGTATATAAAGTTTGAGGGATATCAAATGACCATTAGGATACAAAATCTCAACAAAAAAAAAAATTGAAATTTGAACGTTTTAGTCAGATTTAGATTTTGGAAAACTTTGAATGGTTATAACTTTTTTTCTATTATAGATAGAAAGCTGAAAATTTCAGCGATTCTTATTCCAGTAGAGGACTTCGATCCCTGAAAATTTCAACTCATTTGGATCTATAGTTCCTGAGATAAAATCGTGTTAAAGATAGAGATAACAACAAGAATATCTACAAAAAATGAGATCCCAAAATCTCAAATTTCAATGGCTACTCAAAACAAAAGGTTTGAGCTAATCGACACAAAGCATGGAGATGTTGTTTTTTTCGAAAAAGAGGAGGAAAATGATTAAATAATCAGAAGAATATAACTTGCAGGAAAAGATGACGGCTCAATGTTATGGCCTATATGCAAAACGAAACGACAAATCAAGAAGGTTCCCTTAAAAGTGGGAAACCTAGTACCTAATGACAGTTTTGCGCAAAATTCTGAAACTCCTGAATATAGTTCAGTAGGTACAGAGGGGAAAATGTGAATCTGAGGAGTATTTTCATGATAAAAGAGAAAGGCTGAAAGAGTATATACTACTGAATTTCAGCTCAGGAAAATCATCAAACTATTGCAGAGGCTCCAACATATGTTAACTGCCAAGATTTAAAAAGTGTTTGGAATGGAATGAAAAAGATTGCGAAGAAAAAAAATCAACAATCGCTACGAAGGCCTTGGAAAAATTAGTAAATAAAACACTTTTCTTCATGGACCTCTGAGAGAAATTCAATTCAAGCTGAAAAATGTAATTCAGTGGATTCCTGTTAAAATATTGAAGATTTTAGTCGAGGCCTTATAGCCATAGGCCAGGAAACATAAAACTGACAGCTAACCGAATTCTTACTTCATTGGCTCTTGATTCAATCATTGATTCGACTCTTGATTGCTTGACAATTTCATTCAAAAGCCGGTAATAATGAAAATTTGAATGAGATATCATCGGCTCTTGATTCTTTCATTGTTTGTGATCACCATCTCTTGATTTGCCTGAAAATTTTTCAGGCGCTAACTCAAGAACCGGTGGTAGGTAATATTCGAAATTTATATTTGATACTATACCCAGCTCCTTGATTCATTCAATTTTTATTATAAATGGCTCGATTCCCTTGACAATTTGGGATTTTTCTATATAGTTCAATCAAGGTCCGGTGATAACCCAAATTTTTACTATAAACGGCTGGACTAGATATTATCGGTACTAGATTCATTTAATTTTGATTGAGTATAATCTGCTCTTGACAATTTTGTCAGACCAGTTTCACATTCCCAGTTTCGAATTTTTATTAACTATTTCAATTGGTTTGTTGATGATAACTTCAAGAAACAAGTAAGTATAGGGTCAATAATGGTTGTCTTTTTAAGAAAATGTAAAAATTTTGACGTTGGTATGCCCTTTTTAGATGGCTGAACTGAAATCCCACCAAACTCAACTCAGTGTTAGCTCTCATCATTGATTTACTACCTTGTACCTTCATCAGCAGCTATTTCGCAAAATCAAAAGTCTTTAAGTTGACGGGCATTTTAAAGGTGGAATTTATAGTTGCTCCTTGAGGTTTCCTTGGCCCTCGAGGAAGCCTTGGACGTTTTGAATTGACATAACAAATATCCATCCTAAACTAACGACCCGCAAGGAAGCTTCGAGATCAAACAATATATGATTTTACCAATAATATGGCATCAATGTTAGAAGATTCATATTAGGGATGGTGTTTGTTCCAAATTATTGAATACATAGACCAGGTGCAATTGAATGGCCACCGATATTTCCAGATTTTATACCAATGTAGTATTTTATTCTTTTTGGGATTAATAAAAGTATTAAGTGTAACACGCTAAAGTATTCAAAATGCTTGTAGACAAATTTATTCATAACATGTAACATAATATTATATAATTTTTTAATGTGATGTGGTATTCAATAGCGACTACCTTTAACCTTCTAAGTATAAGCTTTGAATGAAGCTGGGCATTATTTACGATACGACATAATATTTATCCTGTAGAAAATTTATAGTACGATCGTGGGTACTAAACGCGGTCGCAAAGTTTGACATTTTTGCGCCAAACGATGTTCGGTCGTCTGGGCTGAAATGGTATGCGTGGGTAGACTGTAGCAGGAGTGCTCAGGCTCATCCTCCGTAGTGATTTAGTTAAAAATCAATGAACATCCGTGAGACGTAATTCTTCTTTGCAATAAAAGCGAAGAGTCGAATCCCGGTACGCGTAGGCTCCGCACAATGGATTTCTTCCTTTTTTGCGCTGACACCGGGGACGTTCGGAATCGACTGCGTTTTAGAATTTTCGTATTATTGTTTAACAATAGTCAAACATGCTCAGAACAAGATAAATTTTGACTCTCGCAGCCATGGGTTCAAAGTTTCTTAATAAACATCCTTGAATCGACCTAAAATTTCATCTTCAACTTTTATTCACACGTTTCTAACCTTCTGGAAATTCTACTAGGAACTAAGTCACATTTTTTGGAAATTGCATTCCATCATTGCTTTACGCCACTTGAATTCTAAAGATGTTTTATATATATGCAAACGACATTTTGACTACTGAACCATCAAACCCTATTTCTTCTTGAATTGTTGTTATCTTCAAAACTTACTCTTACTCTGTTACTCTTTTTCTTCCATTTGGAAATCTCAGTAATTACTAACTTCTCTTTAGAAAGTAAAACTGTGTTTGATAGCAAAAGTTCTCTGACTTCAATCATTATGACATGTCTAGAGAGTAGAAGGTTGTTTTGCTTTGGAAGTCAATACTTACCTAATATCCAACAAGAACTTCCTCGCTCTTTCTTATTTCCATTCACAAACTTGTGATTTTGGTGGTACGTGCACAAAGTTACCGGACTCAATACTCCACCAAGATTATTTGTTATCTAATCCAATTTTCCATGAGTTGCACATGTAACATTTTTCTCATTATTTCTAGATGGATCATAATGTTGCTGTACTTTGTAGCAAACTTTTTGGCTCTACACTACATCTATTTCTGCCAGGTTTACCTCAATGGTTTTCAGTTCTACTTTTGGTTCAGCCCTGTAGAGGGTGAGGAGTTTTTGAAATCTTGATCTACGATCGAATCTTCTATCAGAAGATTCATCCAACAAATCAAGAGCCGGTAATAGTTTAAATTATGATTCCTAAGAAGAATTCAGTTCAAGTTTGAAGCAGATTAAAGAGTCTTCGAAGGTGTGACACATAACGTAAGTTGGAGGAAAGCAAGTTGTAGATGGATGCTAAGAAGACTGTAAATAGGAATATAGGAAACCGATCTCCTGACGTGAAATTGTAAAAACCATAAGATTCTATTATACTTT